CTCCGTGGGTTAGAGCAGCCCCCTGGGTAGCAGGAGCTGTGGGTATCAGTTGCCCCTGGCAGAGAAGGGATTTGAACATGCATTTCCTATGTCTGGAGTGGATGCGCCCCATACCATGCTGTGCATCTGAGTGGCTTCTCCTCCAGGCTGTGAATCCTGCAGGGGAAGGTGCCTCCTGCAGGCAAGCTTTTGTGGATCCTGTTCTGAGGTACCAGCTCTCCCCGTTTTATGCAATGGGAGCCAGGGCACCTACTTCAGGGCAGTAAGCTACAAGGTGCCTTGATGCAAGATGTGGTGGCACTGAACACTGCGACACCATCCTGTGGCAGATCCAGCCCAAGGGTCCTCAGAAACTGGCCAACAGTATCCTGGTGTGACTTCACCCAGGAGCAAGGGAGTGGACCTGGTCATTTTAAAGAGCCTCCTCCTTGCTCCTCAGCCCTGCTAGCAGAGGCCAGGAGCCCAGCCTGCCTCAGTGCATCTCCTCTAACCGTTTTCCAGTTAAGCCTTCGGTAGCTACTTCATCCCTTGAGCTGAGCTGCTGGGAGTTGAAGAAGCCTTTTGCTAGAGTACAGCCTGTCTCAAGGCTTAGGGGCCTGATGTACAAGGACAAGGAACACCTGGCTGGTTTTTTTTGTTTTGTCTTGTTTTTAACAGTGTTGTAGCGGGAACGGAATGTTCAAATCTTTATAATATATTGTAAAGCCATTATAATAAAAGTTTATTTTAACACATCCTTTCCTTGGAGATCCCTGACCCAGTGTGGCCCTGGCCAGTGACTCACACAGCAAATCATAGCGCTAAGTAGGAATGGCAGGGACCTCCAGAGGTCATCTAGTCCAACTGCCTGTCGAGGCAGGACCAGCCATACCCAACCTATCCTATACCGCTCAATAATCTAAACTCTTTGTAAAACTACCATCAATCCTAACACAGTGGAAGACATAACAATCTAAACTGCCACAGGTAAAGCAGAGGGACCATGGCAGCCAACATCCCACTTCTATAAAAAGTTGTTAATACACACTCAAGAGATCCCACACTTCTTGCTACAGGGGAAGGCAAAAACCCCTCACAATCCATACAAATCTGACCATGGGGTAAAAACTCCTTCCTGACCCCAAATATGGCCATTGGTCTGACCCTGAGTGGAGGGGCAAGGCCCTTTAGCCAGGAAGTTTAAGCCCCAGCAGAAGCACTGGCACACCCCAGTCAAAATCCCTAGTTTTGGCTACAGCTAACACCCAATGCCTCTGAGGGAGGCTTAAAGACACCTTGACATGTGGAAGGGGGCAACCAGCAAAGCCCTGAAGGGAAACACCCATAGTGGAACACAGGCTACACCTAGATCATCCCCATCCAGTAGCTGTCCAACCTTTTCTTGAACACCTCCAATGATGAAGAGTCCACAACTTCCCCAGGTGTCTATTCCACTGCCTCACTATTCTAACAGTGAAGAAGTTTGTCTTGGCTTGGATGGAGCTGTTTGGCTAAGCACTGACTATAGTGAGAGCCATACCCTTGGCCCCTGGGGAAGGGAAGCCAAAAGTTTAAAATGGTGGATCCAATTCATTTTAAGGGTTACTATTCATTAACCCAGAGTGCAGCAACCTATAGCCTGTGGTCTGGATCTGGCCTGTGGAGCTGCAGGGCCTTTGCCCATGCAGCTGCTGGGCGGTAGCAAGAAGCATTAGTTCTGTTTGTGTTGGAGGGACCCATGCTCACTGGGAGCTAAACACCATTAAAGTAGCCTCCTTTTCCCCTAGCTAGCCTTGGTGAGGTGACAGCATGCACATGCACTTCCCCTGCTCCAGCACCCCCCCAACAGCACTAAACAAGCAAAAAGTCACTTTCAGAAATCACGTAGAAGCACAAGGCTGTAGTCTGCAAGGGGCAAAAAGCATGCTGGGAAGAGAGAAAATGTAGCCAGTAGGTAACATCCAAGAGCAGGCAGGTGTGAGTGCAGTACAGGTGCACTGGAATGAGCCCCAGGGGGATGGGAGGAAAACACATGGAACGAAGGCATTTGCTACAATGGGGTTAGTGAATTTGCTGCAGCATTGCCCACATGGAAAACATCAGGTCCTGCCACTGGACTGGATAACGTGTGGGGTTGATATGAGGCCATTCTGCCCTGCCATAGGGCAGTCATGAGAGCTTCAGCCCAGTGCTGTCTTCACACCAACTCCAGCTGTAAAAAGGGATACACTTGGCTCAGACTAGCTATGGGCACCATCTAATACAGGTGCCCAGTGACTCCAAGTTTGAGCAGTGGTGTTGTTCTGCTGTGTGTGATGAGCTGAGGAAAGCAGCATAGCTACCAATTCAGGGAGGTGACACAGCCAGCCACAGGGGTGTGTGGACAAACCTGGATCTGTACATGAGCAGGGTTAGGTGATGTGGGGCCTGAAGAGCATGGAGCTGAACCCGGGGACCCAAGGGGCCACTTTCCAGTCTCCCGTTCCTCAGTAACAGGTGTTTCTGAAGCACGTTAGACCTACAAGAGCTTCCAAGATACCAGACCTGGGGCTAAAGTGTTTCACTTCAATATGCAGTCCCTGCCACTGGTGCATAACTGGTGGTGGGGCCCTGAACCAGGACTGCGCCAGGAGTTGGGGCCAAGAACCCCATGCTGGCAGAAAGCAGTGAGAGGGAGCAAAGGCTTTCAGGGTCACAAGCGAGGCCTCGGCTTACCTGCCTTTCAAAGATGGCATTTAGCAGTAGCTCCTTTATCACCCAAGCAGGCTGGCTCATTTGTGACACTGAGGGCAAGTGGCCCCTGCTGACCACAGGTGGCATTACTCAGAGGTGGCACACAGCTCCACCTCTTTTGTGTTCATCTGTGGCAGCAGTCTGAAGGTTCATATTATCATCTTGGAAGCAAAAAACCCACCCAAGGAGGTAGGGATGATGGTGGTAGCAACAAACATAATGGAGGGCATCACTTCCATCATCAAGACGTCTTAGGTAATAGCCACTCTGTGTACAGTACCATGAGAGGCGCTGCCCTTTATAGCCAAAGGCCAAGAAAACGCTTAAGCCCTATTCGTTCTAAGCTGGATGGGTTCCTGTTGACCTACCTAGCCATGTGCAGGGGATATCTCGTCTCACTTTGCCCTGCAGCAGCCAGGGTGGAACCCCAGAGCTGAGGGAAGCAAAAAGACCACTAAATTCAGGCAGCAGTCCAAAGCAGAAAGCCTTCTTCCACGGGCTAAGCATTGTGATGGAGTGGGATGGTCCCCCATGGGCGTGCAGGGGGGACTTAGCCTAGACCCAGACAAATGTGGGAGGGTCCTATAAGGGTGGCAGGATTAGTTAGGTCCCATCTCCACAGAACAGCTGGATCCCTCTCTCTCTTCCCACTACCTAAACCTTGGACAGATGCCTGCCCACAGCACAGCAGGATGGTATTTGTCTGCTGCATTCTTTGTAATATGCAGTACAACAGGGAAGGTGTGAGCAACAGCCAAGCAGCTTCCCACACCTCACTCAGCCTCTCGTGTTCTCCACCCACAACTATGATATAGGTGAACATGGCACAGCTCTTCCCTGGAAGGGAGATGAGCAATTAAAGGCTGGCCCTATTTCCCTTCCTGGGAATGACAGCTCATCTCTTTGTTGCGATAGAAGCATATACAAATCTCAAAATAGCAGAGGACCCCATTCACAGGTCACTGTTCAATTAAGGGCCAAGCTAGGGCCCAGTCTGCAGAAGTCTCTTCCATATTGAGAGGAGTGGACAGAGGTTGTTCTTCAAGGCTAGACATTTCCAAAGCAGTGCAGGGGATTCAGAAACATCTTTCACCTAATGAAATAGAGGATTAGGGGAGTTAATGTCACATGTAAATCCCCAGGCTGCTCCAAGAGTCTCAACCTATATTTCTAGGAGCACGCAGGTGCCCTCACTCCTACCCTTTCCTGGCTCTTTCTAAACTAGATCCATTCCAACCTTCACTGCCCATTTCTTGACCACCCTTTTATAGGCTTACCTGGAGGTAGGGACAAATTACACAAAGTGGGTAGCTGGCATCATGTGTCAGCACAGTGTTCACAAGTCACCCTACTCAGACTGCATTAAGGCAGGTGATGGGGCCTACTGCAAAGGCATAAGCAGCCCTGAAATCAGGTTTGCAGAACATGTACCACTGCAGGCCAGAGGTTTCCCAAGCTGTCATGAGGAAGCCAGCTGCACAGCTCTCATTAGCCAAGATACCAAAAAGCGTCTAGCGATTTTGGGACCCAATATGAGACGTTTTATAGGGACCTGGTTTCTGGGCACCAACCCTCCAAAAACCAGGCCCCTTTTAAGGTGTTTCAAGTGTTCCTCCCAGATTCACTAGTTAGTTTGCAAAGCTTAGCCAAGGGGAGCTATTCACCTGGTCTCCTAGCACAGCGGTTCTCAACCAGGACCTGCTTGTAAACATCAATGGCCAGACCTGACCCAGTGCCCCTGCCCCTAGACCCCCAGTGTGTGGGGCAGGGGGTGGGTGCCTGAGGCACAAGGGGGCCCCCAGCCGCCCTTCACAGTTTCGAACTCTGCCAGCCTGCAAGGGAAAAGCAACCATTCCCCACATTTTTCTCCTTTAAAGTTTGTTGATCCATTTTTAAAGTCGGTTTGAGACCCTTTCCTGTACTGTTGCAACCAATTTTTGGGTCATGACCCAAGGATTGAGAAATGCTGTTCTAGCTGGCCTTGGTGAGGTGAGCATGCATGCACACACACGTGCTTTAATGCATATTAGCCTATTTTAATGCTTATTAAAGCATCACACAAAACCATGCACTTTTGCTAATGCACATTAAAATAGGCTAATGTGCCTTTTTCTAGTACCTCACAATGAAGGTACTAAATATGCATTCGCAAAAGTGCATTAATGAATGTGCTGGTGCCCCCCTTCTCTCCCCCTACATACACACATTTAGGAAGCATTGTTACAAATAGCCTCCCACTTAAACTAGTTTGACAGAAAAATGACTGAAAAGGAAAATCTGAGGCTAGCTGCATATTTGAGCCTTTATGATGCTGTCACTGAACGTGAGCCACATACAGCGTTTTTCAAACAACTTTTGGGGAGAAGTTTAACCTCCTTTATGGCCAAAGCAGCAAACCCCACATGGAGCAGACAGCAGAGAAACCCACAGGCACTGCATAAGTAGAACTTGAGAAAACAGTGACAGAGAGAGAGAGAGAGAGAGAGAAAGAGAGAGAAAGGAAGAAAGATTTTAAACAAGCCTTTGGGGGAGAATTCGCACAAACCCTGAACATACAAAACAGTACAAAGAGTCCCGCCCTTTTCCCTTGTGAAACAGGCTGTCTGGGATCTTCACTGGAAATGCAACAATCAAGCGAGTCTACAGACTGACTGCTTTTGCCTAAGCCATTGCACAACGAGAGACTTTGCTGCTCATAGGATTATGGTTTTGCACCCACCCAGGTGCAAGCAGATGTCAGTACAAATACCCAGGTCCTCTCTTTGGCTTGATAGGACTTGTCAAATAGATGGAGAGATCCAACCACCACATCTCATGGCTCTGCCGTGGGGCCATCTCATGTGCAGCCTGAGCGGCCAACCAGTGTGTTCTATTTTGGGAAGCGGTGGTTTCCAAATGAAACCAGGGCTAGGGGTAGACCAAGCATTGGCACAGCCTGGAGAGGTCTTTGGCATTGCTGGTAATGCTCCACTGCAGCTCCCTCAGTGAATCCAGCCAAAGCCAACCCAACCTTTCTGCCTCTTGAATGGGAGACACTTTCCTGTTCCACCACATCAGTGACGCATATCCCAAAGCTTCAGGGGGCACGCTCCGGGCTCAGGTTGTCTTAGGTGGCCGACACCATTCTCTTTCATCTCCCCAGCTCACCAAGTTCCCTGGAGTTGGAGACGTTTTCCCCAAATTGCAGAATAATGCAGGATGCTCATACTCCATTGCAGGGAAATGTTACCGAGCCACTACCCTTGCTTTGTGCAGCAGGGGATACATGCATCTCTATAAGGGTGATCTCCAAGGTTTGCTTATGCTGGTAACACAAAACATTCAATTCCTTCAAATCTCCCGAGCTGATTTCAGCCACCTTAGTCTATGGGAAAACTTGAAACTCCCTGTCCTTCTGCACAGGGTTATCTGGCTCCTTGATGCATTGAAATCATGAATGGGAACAAGTATTCAGGATACTTGCATAGGTGATGTATGACCATCTCCCACAGCTCTGCTTTAAACATGTTGACACAATCAGGGTGGAAACTTCCAGACAGAGAATGACCTTACGACAGATGTTCTAGGAGTGGCCTTGCCAGGGTGGAGATGAGGCCAAAGCATGCATGCTACTTCACTTTCAATTGTCCAATGAGGGCTTAGGCAACCAAAGCAAGGCAGTGCTCTTGGTCCTACTTGGATCAGGATGCAAAACAAGTGTCTGTAAGCTTGCATTTCCTTCGTGAAATGGCATCAGTCCCTTTTGTGGGTTCCACTGTACCCCATCACAAGTGCAGCTATTCACAGTATGTTCAACATGTGGAATGGGGGCAGACCCTTCCCCTCAGAAGATGGCCGGTTCCACCCTGCTGCCTGGCAGGAGGGCACAGGGCAGCCAACGTCCTCTTGGTCTTGGTATTCTGTAGAATGGACAGGTGTGGCTTGTTGGCTTAAATTTCTTTGGCGCATGTTTTTGGTGGGTAAACCAGGGACATGCTGGAGCAGTTAAACAACCATAACAATGAGAATCCACTTTGATTTGGGGGTCCATTTATTTCTGGGGCTGCTTTACAGCTGTATCACTTTGGCTGGATGTCACAGATCACACTATGCCACGGGCCTGAAACACCAATGGGTATTGAAAGTCATGGGGCCTTCTCATTTGCTGTGAGCTGATTTACAGACAATTTCCTTCTGGGAGATTACCTATGTCCTTGGGATCTTGCTTCTTATGTTATAACCAGAACAACTTCCCTCAGGAAAGCCCACATTTACTACACAACTGGAAACAGGTTTTACTAACAGGAACAGAGAAGATGCAGTCCGTTCAATGAGACTCTTATACAGTGTGGAGCATTTCTTTAATAGAACTACGCAGATCTGGAGGAAGACAGGCCTCAAGGCTTTTTATCAAGATCATATACTTCTGAAGAAGGATGAGCGTGTGATACCGGGAACCACAATTAGGTCCAATCATGCCAAGGGCTGCTTTAAAGGAGCAAGTTGTTATGCTTGGTTGTTTGGGGAAGAAAACCAAACCAAACCAAACCCAGAAGCATGAAGAAAACTAAGCCAAGAGGAAGACCCTGAGGTGCAGCATTGGGGTAAGCCTAGCAGCCCCAAAACCTACAACCAAAGTCCCACCTTCTGGGAAGAGATGGGGTTGGTAGAACAGATTCTGTCCATATGACTACAGCAGTGGGAAGGCACAGGCTATGTGTGGCAGAGAGGAGGGTATTTGACTGTGCAGTTTTCATGTTTCCGGATTCTGCTCCAACATGCCCAGTACTAGACTCCTTGGCACATGCTTCACAAACAGTGGCTTCTCCAGAACTTGGGAAGAGTCAGTTCAGCTGACGATGAGTACTTGCTTCACTGAGCAGTGAGGATTTGAGTTTCAAAGGTCAGGGGAGGCAAGCACATACACAAATAGCCCTTGTTAGTACAAGAATATGGATGTGGTTCCTAGCAGCTAAAGAGTCCTTCATTTCACACCCTCAGATGGAGTTAGACCAGGAAGACTGGACTTGAACAGAGCTCGCCTGCAAGAGTCTAATACCAGCTCTTCAGGGTGCCAGGGCGTGTCACCAGCTCCTTTGCTTCTTCCACCCTGAGTGTCCAAGACACAGACTTGCAGCCCTGCCCACCGCAGCGCACCGACAAATCTTGAGCTTGGGAGAGCAAGATACAAATGCTGGATAGAGCCAGGCATCTCATTCAGTATGCCTCAGTCCCGAGCCCCATGAGCATGATAGAGCAGTCCCTCAGCCCTGACATGTTCCACCCCTGCTGGTCAGGACTGAACTGTTCAGTGGTTTTGCTGCTGGTCACGAAGCCAGCGCCCTGTTACCCAAGAAAGGACTGGAGCCCAGGCTGATAATAGCAGAAGACCAGCATAATAAGCAACAGGACCCCTTTTAAACCCAGCCTCTTGTAGCGAAGAGTCATGGTGCGGTGACTGGGAAGCAGCCTCTTGGCAGGGAGGAGTGCGTCAGCGTCAGTTTGGAACAGGAAAGATTTAAAATATATATAATATATACTTTTATTATTCACCCGTTAAATCCATTATATACCAATCGTGAGCCAGTTTTCGGCAGTTACATTCCCTTGATCATGTCTTTATGAGGATGCAATTAAATCAAAAACAAAAGGAGACCAATGACGCCGCCGGGGGAGCTGCAGTCAGCATCGTGCGGCAATCGTTAACACCGGTCGATGGCTCGTGGGGCTGGTTCAGTCCTAACGCCTTTGTGCGAGGGTCTCGCTCCTACTGAAACCTCAACAGCAAGTGGCAGCGTTTGCTTCCTGGCCCATCTTAGCAGCGTTGCTCACTCCACTCTGGGGAATTGGTTACTGCAACACCAGTCCAACCTAGGAGAGCCAGCGGGAGATGGAAGGCTTAGGAAGGGGTTAAGGCACAGGACCACAGCCCAATCCTGGATGACAAGCATGCATTCTCCAGCACTGGCCACATTTGCTGGGAAACAGCAGCAACCTCATGGGTGCATGAGGAAGTCCAGCCTACCAGCTCCGACAGGGTTACACTAGGAACCCACCATAATTCAAGGGACCCTTTCTCAGAGGCCTGCCACCCCCTCCCAGTAGTGTCCAGTGGCCAGAACACAGGGCTAGAAGTCAAGGCACAGCCCTGCTTGGCAACTCATTCCTCTGCAACCCGAACTCCTGTGACTCGCTGTACGACAGAGCAGTAGCAACTGAACTGGGGGATCCTGCAAAGGGCTAACTCTACCTCACGGTTCATCCTGGCTAATTTAGCAGGGCCTTTTAGCTTAGAATCTAACTTTCATCATGTCCCTCTGAAAGCAGCCTGCCCATTTCTGGGGCTTTTCTTTGGGCTGAGCAAGTACTGTGGTGTGGTGGGTCACTGCCACTCTGGAAAAAACCCTGAGAGGTACTGGAAGTCAGAGCTGGAGAAGAGTAAGCTTTACCCAGCAACAACGACCTACACTGTGTAGATCTGCATTCCCAAAGTGCAGAGCTGGGCTCAGTCTCTGTGGGGTCAGCTGTCCCCCAGGCATGTGTAGTCAATACGCTGGCCCTGGACATTGTAGCAGCTCCCTGGTGACTCAAAGCCTTGCGGGTTCCTTCAGTGAAGTGGTAAAGTGGGATAAACCTATTAGTGACCTTCTGGCTCCTTTGTTAAAAGAGGTTAAGTATCAGTGTGAAAGAGAGGTTGGATGTGGTTTAAATAGTGGCTTGGGGCACCACATACAGGAAACTTCTGTGGAATTTTCTGCTGACGGGGGCATCCAACTGGCTATCTTAGTTGGATCAGGATACTTGCCAACTTCATTCAGGGCTTTAGGAAGGCATTTACTTCCCCTGCCAAAGACAGCAAGTGCAAAACTGGCCAAGTGCATTATGTTAGGAGAGGGTGGTTCCTTGTCTACAAAGCAACAATGCCAGAAACTAGCAGGTGACCAGTCACATTTCTATAACCCCCTGAAAATCACATCTACTGCACAGCCTAGCATATGCTTGCAGCGCTCTGTAAAAGAGGGATCGTGTGTAGTCCTGGAGTGTCCATCACCCCAATGCAGTTTGCAGACATGAAGCATATGCTGAACTAGGACTCTTAGGAGTGGAGTGGGGCCAGGCAAAGGGCAGCTCAGCTTAACCTAACCCAGACCAGAGATGGAAAACTATGGCCAAGACTCTTAATATGAGGTCCTACACTTAAGAGTGGCAAGGGGCCCATCTTTCTCTTACAAACTGCCAGGTGCTCAATCCTACCTACAGAGGCAGGCTCAGCCCAGTGTGTGGGGAGCCTGGTATTTCAGTCCTGAGGTTTACGGTTTAATAACATCTTGAGGACTAGGTTAAATGACTGGCCTCCCCCAAGGAGTCTCTCAGGCAGAGACTGGGGGAGGGGTATCCTATTCAATCTAGAGTCTGCAGTACAAGTGGAGTCTCTCAAACAGGTTTATTCTCCACAGGGAGACCTGTCCAGCTGACAGAACCACCCCATCAAGTCTCTTACCTTGCTAAATTACACTTCTTAAATATCTAGACCAGGGGTCCTCAACTCCTGGCTTGTAGGCCAGAATTGTGCTCCCCCGCAAACAATGTCATGTGGCTTTCAGGACACCCTTACTGACAAAGTTTCAGAACTGTGGAAAGCAGTGCCCTCTCCCTGCACACCGTTGCTAAATTTCCTGACCCGTGGAGAGCCAGACTGGGCAGTATGGCCCTGTGTGCTAAACTGGGAAAGCAGGGCACCATGGAACCCAATCCCAGTGCTTGGGGGCAGTGGGCAGCTCAAATCCAGCATGCAGGGGCAGCATATGGCACCAGGACCCAATCCTGATACATGGGGCTGGGTAGGGAGCAGTGCAGGGAACCAGGGCTTGATCCTGGCACATAGGGCACCAGGGCCCAATCCTGGCATGCAGGGCCGCGTGCCACTCATCTGGCTTACAGGGCCAAAACGTTGAGCACTGCTGATCTAGACTGATCATAGGGCTGGAAAGGGGTTTACAGACCACCAAGTCCAGCCCCCAGCATGATCTGAGTATTTTTCCCCCCTCCCCATCAGGGACTGGAATCTAGCTTAGCTCTGCGCTCCAACTGGACAGAAATGTGGCTCTGATCCAATAAAGGAGGCCCTAGTGCTGTCTTTTAGCTACACGCTCTTCTGGACTCGGAGTAATGGAGGCCTGTGGATGCTTTCAAGAGTCTACTACATAGGGCTTCTAACTCTCCAGGCCCAGGATACCCAGGTTGTGATCAGTTTGATAAACTCCTCCTTACACAGGCAAACAACTTGGGAGGGTGGAGAAAAGCATTTAGAAAATTACAGGTCATTGGCAAGTTATGATCCTGACTGAGCTGGGAAGGGGAACTGGCTGTGTGTGGGAACTGACGAAGGCTTCTCTGGTGTTCTCCTTTCTTATAACAGCACCCACGCATTTCAGGCTCTTCTGCCTCATGCTGAAGCCAAACATACAGCCTTCCCCAAGTGTGGAATCCTAAGCCAGTTAGCCCATCTCTGTGTAGCATGAGCCTAAGTTTTTCAAGAGATTTTTACAGAAACCATCCCAGAGATCCTACCAGATGCCTCAGGGTGACCTCTCTTTCCATGAGGTTGCATGGCTGTGCACTTACCTTCTCTGCTGCCATGCTGGGGCATTTCCAATTGTAAAGGTAATACTGCAGGTTCCCATCCCCAATCCCAAACTTCAGCTTTTCCAGGAAGGTTTTGTTTTCCATGAGGTCCAGTGCATTGAACACATCAAACCCTTTCTGACAGGGGCAGAGAAGAAACAAAGTCATCGTCAGCAAGACTCCTCTGGGGAACATCTCCCTGCTGTGCTGTCCTCCATTACTCTAGGCACTGCCTGTACTGAAAGCTTCCCACCACTTGCCTCATCACCTTTCACTTCCAGCTGTAGCATAGAGGCCATGGAATGACTCTCCCCCTTTTCCCCCTGGGGAGCAGATTAGGACTCCAGAGGAAAGCTGCCAAGTTGCTGCCCACATCAGACCTATTCTCAAGGTAAACACAGGTATCATGGCTGAGGCCAGTATGTTTCGGCTGCAGGAAATTTGGAAACATCTTGGTCTAACACTAGCCAGGCTCCTTTTCCTTGCCAGATCGGACAGAGAAGGTTCCTGGTTACTTGGTTGTCCACTGCAGGCAGGACCAGCTGAGATGTGGTGCCTAGTCCTGGGAGGAACCTGAAGCTCACCAAGATAAGATGGGCACAGTATGTTCTCCATTGGCAACAACTTGACAGCTCACTATTGTGTTGAGCCAATCTCCTATGCCTGTGGCTCACAGCTAGAGGGAGCTGGCCAGGACTCCCCACAAGCTGTCAAAACACCCTGCACCTGACCAGTTGCGGAGAGGTGTTTAGAACTGGTCTCCCCAATGCTTGGAGAGAATTCTCATGGTGTCCCAAAGGCACTCAGACCTACCAGTTTACTGCCCCCACTGCTCCCTCAGCCCCATCTCACAGCTCAGACAGAGGAGTCATCCAAGCCTACTTACCAATTTTGCCAGTATCAGGGCATCACTCATGAGGTCTATGAGGGGGGTCTTGGTGTGAACATTGTAGAAGGAGTAAGCAGCTTTCAGGCTCTTGTGAGTGGGGTGGTTCATGATGGTGGAGGGCAGAGTATAAAAGCTCAGAAAGTCTGTCACCTCACCAGTGGCGCTCTGAAAAAAAAAGACCAACCCTGCTGGTATGGCATGAGTGAGTATCAGAGAAGACAAAGACAAAGCGCCAGGTAGGGGTGCATTGACAGATTTTGGGGGCCAATATCGATGGCCGATTTTTAAGGAGGCATATCAGCTGGTTCTGATCCGATTTCTGATACGGCTGTGTGCAGCTGGTAAGTCTGTTGTGGTGAAAGGGGAGGGAAAAGGCGTGGGGGGGAGATCAACACCCCCTTGGTGAGGGAGGGAGTAGAGCTGAGGCTGGGGGAGGGCAGGTGTGGGACACAGCCGTGGCTTGTTTGGGGGCAGGTGCAGGGGCGGGGGTGGTGCAGCTCCTGCTGCTGCTCATCTGGGAGGGCACAGGGAGGGTGTGTGCCCCTGGCTCTGTGCCGGGCTGCCCTGGCAGGCTGGGGCCAGGGGCCGTGCTGCGCTTGGGACAGGTGTGCTGGGAGGGGGGCTCTCTCAAGTTCCGCAATGGCCCTCCCATAATCCCCTCCCTGCGCCGCCACCTGCTCCGAGCGCAGCGTGGCCCCTGGCCCCAGCCCGCAGCTGTGGCCCACCCAGATCCAGAGGCACAACTGGCAAGGAAAACATCAACAACCCCTCTGCCCTGCTGCCTCACCTCGACCACAAAGGTGTCAATTATATTCTCTTGAGGTAAGAACCAGTGCTCCACCTCCTCACAGCTCATGACCGGGGTCAGATGGAACTGCTTCAGGTACTCTATCAGGAGCTTGTGAACAGCAGCTATATCTTTGTGCTCCATTGCCCGCATGCGAGGTGTCTTTGGAGTCTGCAGACAGGGGGGCAAACAGTTTGCACTGGCCGCAAGAAGGCCTTCGCATCCTCAGTGCTGGGAGACTGTCACCTTGGCTCTCTCAGCTTGTTGTGCAAAGGACTGTGCTTGCCAAAGATTAACAGATTAACATGGCAGCTTCCCCTGAGGAACCCTCAACCTGCTTCTGTGCTCCCCTTTGCGCCAGCCTGTCCTCCGTCTCCATCCCCCAAACCCACCATCCTCAAAACCCACCCAC